CCCCCCCGCCAAAAAGTTTCAGTTTTCTTGCAATATACTAAACCATAATCACTTGGAAATCCTAGATATTTAACAGTAGACACCAACTCAGTTTGTTGACCACTTTTATCAAATTTTAATATGACATTGCTGATCTCACAACGTCTGAAAACTATAGAGGACATACATTTTTTGTGTGCTGAGGCTGTATCATATATGACAATAACAGCAGTAACAGTACTGCAACTTTTAATATAATATGACTGAAAAGGAGACCATAGAGATTTAATCTGTTCAAAGATCCGAGATTGAAGTACGTTTACCAAAACTGAAAGTTTAGATTAGTGTATAATTAGTTAAAATAATATGATCACCCCCTTTTAATAGAGGAGTAACAATGGCAGATTAGTGCAAGGGAACCTTTAGGAAAGGTTAAAAATAGATGCAACCGTGTAGCTGAGATTATGGCTGCTAGCTTTAGGAATCTGAGTACGCTGATTTACGAGGATTAAGTTCTTTTTCTAACCTCTGTTGTGGTAAAGTGAATAAAATTTTAAACCTGAGTATTCCTAGTGGTTCTTTCAGGAGTTTATGTATTTCAGTAGATGTGCCAGAATTACATTAAAATATTTTAGTATTCAGTTCTTACACACTCTGACCCCAGCTTGATTTTGGAACAAATCAGGAAGGCTCTTGGCGTACTCCACGAGCTCGTATGAATCTCTGATGTCCGTCAAGCCATCACCATTAACAAAGCTGCCATCACGATGCTTAAAATACTTGATGGAAAGACAGAGATCACATGTTAAATGTCAACATTTATATTTACTGCAAGTGGTAAAAAGATTACACATTGATGTGTTATGATATATGCATTTTTTCTTGCACAAAAGCAAATTTTCCCTGATCACAAAGATGAGTGAATTATGTAACACAAAGTTTCATGGGAACTGTGCAGTTTTGTCTTTGACCAGCAGCTCGAGCCCTGTGTCAACAAGATTCACAATAATAAATGGGACATATGTTAAATATTTTGATTTGGTGGCAACAATCACTTAAAAAAGATAGCACGTATTTACCTCTGTGTCACATCCTGTCTTTCTTTAGCAGCAGTCAATAAGTGTCTGAGATCTCAGGAGACCTTTAGCAGCATTTACTGAAATAGGGTCCGTAATCTTGTTAGAACTTGCAGTTAATATAAATGCTTTCCAGCATGGCAGGTTAATGCTTAATGAGAAGCTCGTACACAGCAGTAATCATCTAATGGAAAGCTTTTACTTATTTGCTTGGTTGGATCCAGGGGGTGATTTTTTATTTTATTTTATTTATTTTTTTGTCAGTTGGGTTATTTTTGTTCTGAAATTGTCAGTCTGGTATCACTGCATTTGCTGCTGTGTTTTGGATATTTGCAATTTTTCATTTGATAAAAGCCAGAATTTTTACATTATACGTGGTGATGAATAAATTAGGTAACACAAAGTGTCACTTTAACTCTGAGTGCAGTTCCGTCTTTAACCAGTTGGTGGTACCGCAGATTAACTGTCTCTACAGTGGGAGGAGGAGGCTGTCTTCAGTTTTAAAAATGCGCCCTGCTCTGAAATATTCACACTAAAGCATTTAATCAGAAATTCTCCTCAACATTTGGTAAAGACCAAAATCAAAACTTGTAATGATAAATAATGTTAGTATTATTTGATGTCTTCTAATGTTAATGTTTTGCCAGCTTGTCTACTGGAGACATTGCAGTGTAAAATGAAAACAAGTTTAACTGTCCAGTGTTTTTGATATCATGCTGTTACAGTGTGCCCACACAGAGCTGTTGTGTGCTTTAGCACAGTGTGGCTTGTCATAAAATAGAAGGTAATTTAACACATTGAAACACACTTTACATGAAACAAGCAAAAGTGCAAACTGTTCAGATAATGTGGGGGTGTGACACATAAAGAGATTAGTAGCTCATTTTAACCTTCTGATCCACTGTTCTCCTGGGATATCACTCGTTACCTGCTGAGGAGCTGATGTACTTTATTATTTTAGTGTGTTAAAAAATTATGTTCCTTTGGTCAAATTAGACATCAGTGTTTGTTTACAGTGCAGGTCCAGATCCAGGTGATCCCTCATTCTGAATACAATATAACATATTGTATTATATACAATATAAGATTTATGTTATTTTCTAGTTTAACACTATACATTTGTGTGCAACTGTAATGGACAGAGAGATGGCAGACTGTAAAAGAGCAGGAAGGACAAAGTAAGCAAATGGGCAGATAGTGAGGTGGGAAAACAGAAAATAAGATTATGACATGAATGGTAGCATTTAAAAAGGTGCGTATTACTCCAAACAGAGGCTACAAATCTATTCACCACTGATATCCTGTGTTGGGTCTGCACAGTAAATGGTAAATGATAATGGCCTGCATTTGTGTAGCGCTTTACTCAGTCCCTAAGGACCCCAAAGTGGTGCCCCCCACCTCAACCCCACTCCAAACCCCACCTCACCCCCACCCCACCTCACCCCTCCTCCACAAAGATGGCAGTCATATACTACTGTTGTCCAACCTATTGAGATGCTTTTAAAGATAACTTTGTAATCTAATGTTGTAATAGCAATTGCAAGGCATTGTTTGAGGGACATTATGATTGGGGGCTGAGCACCCCGACAAGTTTTGACCTAGGACCGTTCCTGACAGAATCAAATCCCCAGTTATAGTTACTGGAAAGACCTGCCCACATAATCCAGCAGGAGTAAAACAAACTAACTACAGAGTGATTGAGCTTGCATCAAGACAGCCTGCATGATGAAGTACTAAACTTTTTGCAATTAGTATTGTGCTTGTCCTCAGACAGGAGAATCAGCTGCATTACGGAAATTGAAGGTACAGTCTGTTAATAATAATAATAATAATAATAATAATAATAATAATAATAATAATAATAATAATAATAATAATAATAATAAT